TTGTATCCCCTGTTGTGACAGCAAGAGCAAATCTGAAATAGTGCCATTCTCTGTGAAACTGGGACACTGAGGTGGCACAAGTCAGTACCCTCAACCCTGCAGAGCCATAAGCATAAGTTACTACATTCTAACTGTGTTTTCTGAGGTTTATAAATACAGTCATTCCTAACACTGGTTGTAGTTAGATCACTTCTCCAGGTAACAGAACAGCAAGAACTTCAATTTGTGTATTTCCATAGTACAGTGTGTCCAGGGCTCCCTACTGACAGCAAACCATTTCCAGATGAAACATATGTCAACAAAGCTGCTTCCAAGCCACAGGCAGATTTTTCTTAGGCAGCTGTCAATTCCAGGCAAATCAGTGTTAGGAATACAAAACCAAGATTTTTCTCACAGATCTGTTGATAAGAGGCAACACTTTTGGTTCTCAGAACACAAAATCAGATTGGCTGTAAAAACAGTATACCCCTTACTCTGAAGCAAAATCATCCTACTTTTGAGAGGAGCTTTACGTTTTACATGATGGAAGTATCAAGACTCAGTATTCTGGACAATCTACATATATTATGTAATTTAAACATATTGCCTTTCCAATAAATTATGGAGTACAGAATCAAAGTGTACATAACAAACGGGTGCCATAATAAGCTACAAATTAAGGGACACAAAAATAAATTTTCCCTACATGGAAGTAGGGAAGTTTTAACATGGTTAGATTCAAAAAGCTCTGATCCAATGTAAGGGCTGGATACAGTAAATCTGCTAAAGGGGCACTTGCTTTCGGTTTTATTACCAAGAACCTTTGCCTTGGTAAAAGTTCAACACCAGCATGTACATGGTATCCAACCTCTGTCAAGAGAAGTACAGACACACAGGGAAATGAAAGCATAGTAAGAACTTGAATACACTCACACCATAAGTCTTAATTACCTTTTATGCTATCTCAACATCTTTCATGTTTTTCATTCCTCAACAATATAAATACATTCTTCAACAAGATAAATATTTAATCAGGAAAAAAAACACAAAAGGCATAAGGACTTAATTTTTAACATAAACATACCAACTATTCTCTAGTAAGACTGTTTTCACTAAAAAGTGTTCTCAGAACTCATTGTGAATAAAAGCAGCTTATGAAATAGAATAAACAAGAATAGAGTTGCTACATTTTAAAATGGGAAAGAATGGTCCTGTTATGCCTTTTAAAGAAGCTTGAGCCTACTACTTGTAGGCAAACAACTTGGAAAGAAGTTTAAATGTGTGGACATCAGACACTCAGGTGTGCCACCAACCTACAGCAGTTCAGCTCTGGAACACCCTAATCAAGCCTTCCAGTTGCTCTAAAGGAGATTAGTTACTTTTGCATTCAGGTGCAGGACACCCATCAGAGGCTCACCATGCACTTTATCACATATTACCCCAGCAAAGGTACCAGAGTACTGAGAACAAGTTTTTCAGTCGTATTCCAACAATTTCAGCTGGAGTCAGCTGGATATGTGACTTTCAGCATCTCTAATAATCACCCTATAAATAAGCTAGTGAAAAACTTTAGAAACAAAAATAACTCAAGTACAACATAAGTGCAATTAGAAGGAGATTGCAACTGCAAGAGAGAGAGAAGCAGCTCTTGATTGGTGCTGCTATGGAAATGCAAGTGTAAACAGAAAGGTTCCTCAAAGTCTCAATTCCATAGTTCATTATACACACAGAAAGTCACAGACATACTAATATTTTGATTTTACAATAAGTAGGTCTTGCATCCAGCAATAAAACCTGCATACTGTTAATGGCACACAAGGACAGGAAACAGCAGGCAAAAACAGTGTCAGGAGAAGTGGGCCTGGGGAATTCCCTTGGGAGACACAAGATTATGCAGAAGACCTTCCATTTGCTGAGGACATCCTAAAACAAGTGTCTCCTCAAGCCTATTGGAAAATGTACATTTGTAGAAACCACTAGGATTGTAATACATGTGACCTTTGTGGGTGTGGTACTAATGCTACCAATTGAAATCATTTTAATGTTGCTTTAGCTTTCACCTTACTGTCCAGAGTCTAGAATAATTTTTATCTTTTACTGATACAGTTCAAACTAGTGCTCACAAAGGAAATCCACAGGTCCTGGTATAAAACTCCTGAAACTTGCCACCCATTCCTGAGGGCTGTGTGGCTCACATTTGGGAGACCCACTTTCACCTCTGTGCTTCTGGTATATAACATAGTTACAATTGGGGCTGCTCCTTCTCACAATTAAAGTCACGTGTATTTCAAAAGAAAAACTTTATTCACACTAATCATTGACGTGTTTTCCTTAGACAGCTCAAAAACACTACTGAGCCTGCCCACAAAACCCCAAAATAATAATGGTAACAGAAGTGAGGCAACCCCATCATCTCATCTTTTTATCCAACAATCTGAAGCGGGGGTTTTGAATATAAACTAAACATTTGAAGGCACTGTTCTGAAAGCAAAAATCACGCTTTTCCATTTCACATATGGCACTGTCTGTATTCAAGTAATCCATGATTGCAGAACTACAGTCAAATTAATTAGCAAGGAAGTAACAGGATTAAGGTGAAATCGTGGAAGAAATTTCTTTACATGTGTAAACATAACAGTGTTTACACTGGTCCAGGAAGCATCTGACTGAGCCTTGAGCAGAAATTGTCTTTGTTTCAACAAGTTTGATCAATTTAACAAACTGATTAATTTTATGTGACCTTTTCTTATCTCTTCTCACCAATCTCACAATATCATTGGCCCTCTGGATGGAGCATTTGCTCCTCTCCAAAAATCAGTCTATTATACTGAAACCTATGTTCAAGGCTAACTCATCATCTGGCCTCCCTGTCCACAAATGTGCTAGACCCTTCTTCCTGAAGAACTTGTACAGGCTCCCACCAAGCACCTCTTTTGCCCTTCCTATTTCACAAGGCTACCCTTACCTCCCTGGCCGTGTCCCCATATCCCCCATCTTTACCCATATGAGTATCTTGGCTTGCATATGCCTTCTGAATGCATCCACCCAGTGACCAGGAAAATGCCCTGTCTCTGGAGGGCCAGAGTTGGCAAGGATCATGCTTTCCAATTAGCACTGGAAGCTGGTGCCTGGGGCCAAAAGCAAGGAAAAAATACAGTTTGTACCAACAAAACAGCCACCGAAGCCAGAAATTGTGGCAAGAAGAATTCCTACTAAGGTCAAAGCATCATAGCAGTTTTAGCATGCAAATGCATGTTAGATGGAAAGAGTCTGTAATTAACATAGAGAAAATTTGATGAGAAACTATGAAACAGTTTCTCATAAAACCCATTTGATTACCAGTAATTGTTCTGAAGAACAGAATTATTATTTTAAGTCCAAACTTGGTGCCTCTGTGGCATTTCATTAGAGCAAACCACACTAAAATATAAATGGAAAGGCTACACTAATAAAAGCAAGTTCGTTCAGGCACTCCATTCTCAAGTCACTCTTTTGTGCCTAGGCTGCTGTTACATATCAAGTTTACAACAGCAAAAGAGAGCAAGTTAAAAGACACACCAGCAAATGATACTTAATCTCTTTCTTTCTCTGTCTAGGTTTAGAAATATGCAGCTTTTGTTAGCATGCAACCACAATGAAAAATAAAAACTGCATTATTTTTAAAGGAAATTTTGATTAAAAAAAAAATCCTGAAGTTCTTATTGAAATATCTGCATCAGTAAGAAACTCGTGCTCAGAGCTCATGACGTGTTGACAGGACCCTCATTTGACAGAGAGGCTTTCCCAGTGTCCCAGTACTCTCAAATAAGATCCAGAACCTGGAGTTTATGTTTTAATTATTCCTGTACTTCTCTAATAAGCTATAGCATTGCTAGCTAATTACTAAACAAAAAAGCTAACCAGAAGCAATAGTCATAAACCCAACTTTTCAAAAACAATCACAAGTCAGAACCAAAGCAACTAAAAAACCCATGAAATACAGAATGACATCTATATTCTGTTTTCAGATGCTTCTCATTATTATCAGATTAACTTTTCAAGCTTTTCTTTGTAACTGGAAGGACTAGAAATTAGTTTTAAAACTGTGACAAATTACAATTTCGCTTGTTTCACAGTTTTTCAGAATTTGCTGGATTTTGCATTCCATCTACTACAAGCAAAGTGTACTCACCTTCCACTGTTTAATCTGTCACAACGTCACTGATAGTTTTACAGTAACTTTTGCAAAGCTGTCAGTATTTGTCCCAAGCCTCTATTTCTTCCAGATTCGGTGCCGCTGGAGAGGTAGGACATACTGTACTCTCTAGTCTTTGCTAAGGAATAGGCTTTATTCTTCTATGGCATTCCTAACTTCAGAAGACTATCCTTTTCTTAAGCTAACTGGAACATTATGAACCATTTTTCAGTTCTCTGAGCACGAAGATTACATTTAGTTAGCCCCTAACTTAAAAGGCAAAACTACAAACAAAGCTATTGGTGAACAAACAGTCCAAGAGGCAGAAGGGGAGGGAGATCTTAAAACAGCTCAACTACAACACTCCAGAAAACTATTGCCTTGATCCTCCACTGTGCTGCTCTCTGGTAGCCAGAAGCAGGAAACCTCAGCTTGCTACAAATAGTAAAACTCCAGCAGAGAGACACAAGCTAACTCTTACTAATGAACTTAGTTTTAAGGTCACTCCAGAAGTTAATCATGTGAAGATCATTAAGAGTAACAACAGACATGCATTCATTCTGCCCTCAGCAATTGAATTTACAGCCACATATTCTTCATACTCCAGCTAATTGCAATTACAAAATAGTACCAAATAGATGTGTGTTGCCAGAGTATTTTCCCCGTTTCCATTAATTATCAGATGGCAGTATGGCCTTCTGACACCCACTAATGCCTCCTTCAGCTCCACATGGTTCAAAAGATTATTAGATTAGACTGATCAGCTACTATACTGCAAGCAAGCCAGGATTTTCTGTCATGGAAAATTCATAGGTTATTTTTGGGTTTCTTTTTTTCATTGGTCAAGCTGGAGAAAAAAGGAGGGTCCTCTACAGTACATGGCAAAAGCAACTGGCAGCATTTCAAAACCCGTCTCTGCAGAGTGCACAGATGCAGAAGTGCTACCTGTTTGCCAGTTCAGAGCCTTAAGGAGCTATGTTTGCACAAGTGCTGAGGATAAAAGCAGCACAGTAGTGAATCTGAGTAACTAAAGCTAAACAGGGTATTGTTCGTTAGTACCTTCCAAACTAGAGGACTATCTGGGGCATGCATGAAGTTCATTTGCTGGCACTGTAGTTCTTAATAATTACACCAGAATAAAACATCTACGGTTGTTGTTGCCAACTGTCATTTTTAATCATATTTTGAAGATGAAAAATAATGAAATTTCTGAGCAAGTTTTTTTGTAACTAAATTATTCAAAATCTCAGCCTTAGGATTCATATGATTAGGAGATAACATCATATTCTTAAATTAAAACTATTTCTGATGCTTCAGTGAACACTTTACCATCTTTCTTAAAAATATCAGAAACCAAAAAAAACCCTTTAAAAATCCTGGGTTTAAACAATTTTATTTTTAATAGTTTGAGCTGACAACATGAACAGACATCCCTAAGCATTTAAACTATACATTGCAACTATGCAACAAAGTCATGAGTTTAAAAAAAGAAGTCTAAATGTAAGATATATCCATGCACTTCTACTGAAACAATAAAAATCTAACATTTTATTCATCTGTTGCAAAACAATGCATAAAAGTGTGTATGATTTTATTAACTAGAATTTCTATTTCCTTTTTACAAGTATCATAAAAACATTAATCTTACAAAAGAGTGTTAGGTTAGTAACAACCAAAAAATCATAGTTGAAAAAAATTACTTGTTGCTGTAAAATTAATGACCTAAAGTCCCATAAAGTGAGAAAGATACGATTATACAATTATCTTCCATCTACTAACTATAGGGAACAATTCTTACAACACAGAAATACTGTAAGATGGATTACCTTTGTAAGGAGTCTCTCTGCTGAAACATGAATTCTGAGTATTCCTAAATTTAATGTATTTGCATTTCCTTTGTGGTAGCCATTTTAAGATGGCCCATGACAAAGTGACAACTGTTTGCTCTCACAGCCTGCAGTACATGCTACAGTGTTCCCCAGTTGCCAGATTAGAGTCCAAAGCCTTTCCAAACTGTAACACTTTCAAAGGAAAACCTTACCATTTCTTACACCACTTTTAAGTCATAACACTTGTTAGGACTTTGAGAGCAGATTTCCACATGTTCAGCAAATAAAACACGTAAATGATAAACTATGATCTCTCAGATAAATCAACTTGTTGGTAAATCAGCTCTTTTACAAGGACAAAACCTGTCTCTGAAGGAGATCTTATCAGATAAACATTTTATTTCCCATAATATTTTTAATGAGACATTTTGTATTTTAAGCTAGCTACAAGTCTGCTCATCCTCCAAGGGGCTCATCCTCCTCCCACAAAAACTGAGTAACTCTGTCACATTGTTTACTGTCACTTTACAGTGACAATTCATGAAAAATAACTCCTATTTCCAAGTCTCCAAAATTAATGCTCTTAAACATTAAACAATTATCTATACTTAAATACCTATTTTTAAATTTCTAAACATGACACAGAAATCCTCATTGTGCTACTCGTATCAATTAGCAAGTCAGTGCCATGCTCACCTTCCCAAGCTTTCCCACTATTGCTGGTCTGTCTCCCGCTGGGTGAGGAGTCCAGCAGGAAGCAGCACAACTGAAGTGACATCTTAATGAAGCACTTCTTAGTGCCCAGAGACCATATAGCACCCAATCACTCATCCCACATATGCCTGTTTCCTTGAGGAGGACTGATATGGATTAATCCTATTGAGTTTAAATGCCTAGATCTTAATTTACTTAGTAAAAAGCAGAATGGTAGCTTAAACTACATGGCAGAAGAGTCTGTTCCAGAGATTTATCACCATCAAAAAAATGAAATTTCAGGAGAGAAAGCATGCAGAAATTTTGGACTGCAAAAGAAATATGTGCTTCTATTATTATAGACAATTTCATAATTTCTACTTTCCCCAAGGCAATCAGTCTATCAGACAGAACCAGATTAAAAATCCCAGCGTGGCTGACCCACCACCTCTTTCACCACAGCATAAGAGCTGCCATTTTAGGGTGCAACCCACCTTATGAAAACGAACACAGCACACAGTGCCAGAAGTAGGGCTTTGCTCTGGCATGACAAACAAGTCTTGTGTTGCTGCCAAGCTTCTCTTGGGAGCAGCCTTGGTAGGACATGACTAAACCACCTTGCCCATGGTGAAGAGACCAGCTGGGAGGTTTGAGTTTCAGGTCTCAAAGACTTTGGAAATTCTGAGGAGTGCACACATTAGTTTAACACAGTAGAATAATGAAATCCCTTTGTAAATATCAAAGATACATGAATGCCAATGATTAAGATGAACAAGATATCAGCTTTTAGACAAATTTATCCAACAGGCCTTAAACTAGTGAAACAGTTATCTGTGTATGCAACCCTAAGCCCACAATAACTAACTCTTTTAAAATGAAGGAATTATTGAGAAGATTTAAATTTATGTGCTATAACATTTCATAATTTGGGATGTGAAAAACATTCTGCCTCATTCAATTAAGTATTCAGCCACAATTAAGTGCCTGATACAGGCAATGACAAGTAAAATGAAATGTATATTCAGTTATTCCTCATTGAATATATCATACTACCTAAGGGGGGAGAAAAGAAAGAATGAGAGTCCATACCTGATGCCAGCTATGTCACTGGTAAAAACCTCACTAGCTTCAATTAAATATATCTTGATTCTATACATCAAGCTTGGAAGGACTAGAAACATTGCAGAAGAATAATCAGCTCAATGGAAAAGAATAATTTCATACTACTTTATATGATCCTAACTTTAGGATATGAAAAAATAGGATTTCGTTTCCCTGTGTTATAAGGGGATAAATTAGTGCAAAGAGAAACAGCAGGACACGTGCAAACAAAATAGGAGAACGGGGGATGTGGAGTTAAAAAAGGAGCTTGATAAATCAGCAAACATTCCAAACTATAAAAAAAATCTGGAAAAGAAAACCTATCAGGGAATACATGGTTTGAAAAGAGCTAGGTCCCTGACTCTTACATAGAGATAAATCCTTTAAATTGCATTCAAGTAAATATAATCTTGCCGGTAACATACAGCCTAATATTTCAGCTTTTCTACATGTCAGTGTCTTTAATCAGTCTATTCTACCACTGATTATTAACGAGATGAAAGGATGAATACTCTAATTGAATGAAAGTGGGAAATACTGGATCTAGCATTATTTTTTTTTTGTTTTGCTAGTGCCTATTATTATTAAGGAAACATCTGCCAAGAGAGCCCTGAAAGTGGGTTGATAATCCTTTTCCCACCAAAAGCATGCATGTAGAAGCACACAGTCTGCTTTATGCATAATTTATTTCTGAGGCTTAGCAATACCAGTCTCTCTGATGAGCTATTGTGAAGAACTACCTTTATCCTCCTTGGACACCTGGATGTAAGAGCAGTAACCAAGTACACACCTCTGCAAAAAAAGCTACAAATTCATCCAGTTACATTTAGAAGCACCAAAACAAATAATTATGTAAATAATAAAGCCATGACATACATTTAGCATTCCCTCCATGTGACCAGCTGAATCAAAGCTGAAATCCTATAATTAGTAATTTTATCACAAACATAATACACTGGAGAATAGAGAAGTCACCCTTACTGCTTCATTTTCAAGCCCCTTCTGAAAGATTTAGCCACAGAAAAAAAAAAAAAAAAAGAACCTTAGTAAAGTAACCAGTAATGCAGAACTGGTTGTGTCCATAACCTGGAATTCCTGATCCATCTTGAGCTGACTAAGGTTAGTTGCTCTTTCCATTGTTAGTATTGTTTTGCACATCACATCACCATCACTAGTCACTGTTGCCCTTTGAAGGATGTCAAGGCTGTGATGAGCTAATAACACAACATCTCACACAGAAGGCCTTCAAACCTGCAGTTTAGGTTGAACAGCAATTGCAGTTGCTTAGCTCAGTATCTTTCCCCAGAACTACATTTACAATTTATTGCTTCCTGATTATGTGGCACAGTACAGTGGAGCCTTTCCCAGTAATAACTCTGTTTGTTAGGGTCAGATCCTGTTACTCACTGGTACTGTTGTTCTACATTTATTTAATCCATTTATGTAGACCTGGTGATTTTGGGAGTTTTTATGGCAACAGTTATCATGGATATGAAGTATTTCACACATCATGGTGAATGCTATGAAAGTATTTTATTTAAATAATTACTGCAATAAGAGTGGAACTAAACATTACACTCAGACTTTAAGTGACTTGTTAAGTGTAAGGGTACCTAAACTTTTTAGTATAGGTATTGTATTGCATGCTGTTAAGATGATGTTCTGTTTCACTGACACAATCCTCAAGCTCCAAGTACTGGGAAAATACTCACCAAGGAATATATCCTCCTCCAAAAAGTAATGAGTACCATTCCACCATATTTAATTTATTTGACTTCCAAAAAAGAGGGTAAAAGGCCAAAAACATGAATCCTCCTTCTCTCTCCTCTACTGCATTGATTTCTGTGGTAAGCCATGCAATGGAGAAGGTGGACATTTAGCAGAACTTCCATCAGTATTCCCAGGCATAAACTCTATTCTAGTTTTAATCAGTAGAGAACACAGAATCAGATGGAAAATTTTATCTCCTAATAATAAATCTCTCAGAAAACAACATCTTTTCACTATGAAAACTGTAGCAACTGTAGCTAGTACTGTTTTTCAGATTTTCATTGAAGAAATATTTGAAAAAAAGAACCTACATAATTTCAACAGCCACAATTTTCAAATGTACTTTAAATGACATTTTAAATGCATATTACACAACTTTCTCCTAGCATGACTAGTACAGAGTTTTGCACTTCATTAAAGGATTTTTAAGCATCACTGTTGCTACAAGTTTTGAAAAAGGAGTAATTTCCAGATTCTGTAAATTTTGCCCTAGGAAACTAAATTCCAGGCATCTTACTTCTCATTCAAAAATTATGAACTCAAAAAGTCTTGATGTTATACACTGATCCTGCTACTAAAAACATTTCAGTGAGTCTCCTCCGCAGCTACTAGCCTCAGGAATAATACTTTTCTAGAAATATTGGGAGGTGAGAATCAAGTAAGAAAAAAAAAGAAATATATAGGCAACAATTTTTAATAGTAGTAAAATTTTTGAAGATAAGCAAAAACCAATCACTCCTCCTATACAAAT